GAGGGGGGGCCTGGAAGGATGGGGGTGTGGCCAGGGCTGTGGCCTCTGGACTGGTTGGCTTGCATTTGGGAAGCACAGTCAGGGCGAGTTCTTTACTCTCTAGGAAGTCGTCCTGGGAAGGGCCAGGTTTTCAGGGTCGGCAAGGCCCCAGATGTCAAAGCATCAGGAATCAGAAGATAAAAGACAGGGCTGCATCTCCTCACAGCCCGGAGCACAGCCCTCTGGGCCTCCACGTGGCTCTGCCCCTCAGCTCTGGATTCTCATCCCTGGTAGGTCTGGGGGTCCTGTGCGGACAGGACTTTCATGCCACTTGAGTGGGGGACCTGGGGCCCAGCACATCTCCTGCTCAGCACCCACCAGGGTGTGGCATAAAAGAGACTGGTGAAATGGAAGGGGCAGCTGTGGTGCCCACCAGGAAGGCATGCAGGGCAGGGTGGGGATGCACGGAAGAGCAAGGAATCGGGAAGTTGCCGTAACACGCAGGGGAGCAGGGGAGAAGCTTTGCCCTTGCTTGGAATTCTTATGTCTCTTTAAAGGATCTGATACAGAGGGGTGGAGCAGATGGCATGAGATTCTTTTGGGTCGCAGTAGTTGGAAGTGTGGCACCCAGGGTTACCTGCAGGCTTTTGCTGAAAGTGGTGATGTGGCATAGCTGGGAATGACCCCACAGCCAGAGACTGGACGGAGGGGGTATCCAAGCAGTGTGGCTATGGGCCCTGGTTTGTAGGCCCCTGGCTTCAAACCCTGGGGGTCCCAGGCAGGCATGCGCAGGGGGCGGCAGGGGCAGCACATTGGCTGGAAGGTGAGCTGGGAGAGCTTTTGAGTAGGAAGCAGTGAAGGGATCGCCTCCGCCAGCGGTCTGAAAAGAGTTGCTCTGTTATTGGTGAGGCGGTCAGGAGTGAGGCTAGCCAGGAGGCTCCTGCAATGGGCCCGAGCCACAACAGTGTCTGCAGGGACGGACGTCTGATAATTTAAAACAAAGAACGTGGGCTGGGTGTGGTGGCTCCTGCCTGTAATCCCAGCACTTTAGGAGGCTGAGGCAGGACGATCACTTGAGGCCAAAAGTTTGAGACCAGCAGAGCAAGATCCCATCTCTACAACAAAGGGAAAACAAAAACGAAGTGACAGGACAGCTGACTCCCAGGTTTCTCACTGAAGGTGGAGCCGCTCATTGAGAGACATAGGCTCAGGCAGGAGCTGGGAGTCTCAGAAATGACTGCTGTCAATGGCAGGCGACTCTGGAGAAGGAGGAAGTGGCGCCCCCTGCAGTGTGTTCCATGGAAAACCAACTGCGGAACTAAGCAGCTGTGGCTATGGCTGCTCTCAGTACTTAAAAGATACTACATTCCAGCTGGCATCTGCCGTCAGACTGGTCATTCTTTCATTCGTTCTTTCTCTTTTCTTTTCTCTTCTTTTCCTTTTCTTTCTTCCTTTCCTTTCCCTCCCTCCCTCCCCACCCTCTTTCCCTTCCTCTCTGTCCCTCTTCTCTGTCCCTCCTTCCCCCTCTCCCCTTCCCCTCCCTCCCTCCCTCCCTCCCCGGCTTTCCCTTCTTTGCCCTCCTCTCTGTCCCTCCTCTCCTTCCCTCTGTCTCTCCCTCTCTCTGTCTCTCCTTCCTCCCTCCCTCCCTCTCTTTCTCTCTTTCTGATGGAGTTTTGCTCTGTCACCTGGGCTGGCCTGCAATGCTTGAAATCTAGGCTCACTGCAACCTCTGCCTCCCACATTCAAGCTATTCTCCTGCCGCAGCCTCCCGAGTAGCTGGGATTACAGGCATGCACCACCACACCTGGCTAGTTTTTGTGTTTTTAGCAGAGATGGGGTTTCACCATGTTGGCCAGGCTGGTCTCGAGCTCCTGACCTCAGGTGATCCACCCATCTTGGCTTCCCAAAGGACTGGGATTATAGGCGTGAGCCACTGCGCTCCATCAACACTTTCATTTCTAAAAAAGTTCCTTTGCCTCTCTACACTGCCTTCTGGGTTCAGCTCTTCCACGTGACCTTTCCGTTCGCCAGCCCCGTGTTGGATCCCTTTGTCTCCAGCATTTGCCCAGGACTGAGTTTTCCATTGTAACCGCTTTGCTTATTAATTGTGATTTTTTTCCTTGTTGGTTCTTTTCTCTGTCTACTTGATTGTGTTTCATGATTTCCTGCTCTTTGATCTTTCTGAGCAGCCTCAAACAGCTGTGGAAGTCTAGCTCCCATATCCACCGGCCTTGTGCAGATAGATACGGCTGTCGTGACCAGCCAGCTTACTCTGGACAGAGCCACACAGGATTCCTCAATGGTCTGACCTGTTAGTACACTCAGAAAGCACAATCCATGCCATTAGGAAGTGACATTTGGGATCATTGCAATGTCAGAGGCATGCAGTTCATTTGAGGATGCTTAGGAAGGAGGCATTCAAACGTTGAGAACTTGGTTTTGCTGAGTTAGATCAGAAAGACAGCGGATCTGATTTCCTCTTGGGCAGAGATTTGTTTATTCTGCACTGAGAGCCAAGGGCTGTATTAGTTTTGAACGCACTTAAATATTTTTCCACATTTGGGCGGAGACCCTCGTTTCCAAGAGAAGGGCACAGTAACATTGTTAGGAGTCCCTGAGGACAGGGACTGCACATTCATCCTTCATCCCCTACCCTGCATCGGCCACGCTGCTCAGTACAAGTTTATGGACTTGCACTGTAAAACGGTTAATATATGAGTCATGATATAAATTTCTATATACCATAACTTGCATTTTCAGATGCGTGTTGCAGCCGCTTTGGGAGCCTCTGTCCTAATTGAGCAATGTAATCATTGCTCCAAAGGATGCAGGAACCTCACTGAAATTGCTCTAGGGCCATTATATATGAGCCACAGTAGAGTGTCCCACGTCACTTCTGTGGGCACACCTCACATGCATGCACTGTGTGTATACATGCACGTAAATGTAGGTATACATAGAACAAAGTGCAGCATTGTAATGGAACGTGGATATACTGCATTCTTTTTTAAAGAAAATCTTGGCAAAAGCTGTAACATCTCTAACACCATTGCAACATTTACAACACTCTCTTCCTTCCCTGTATCCAAATTTAATAAAAGGGCATTTGGTTCCCACTGAGGTTTCAAAATCTTTCAGTATTTGATAGGTCAACAGTTATAACAGTATGTTGACTTTGCAATCGACTATTTTAATGATGTGTTAATACAGAGCAATCCTTGGATGGGATTTCCAGAATTCCTTTTTTATAACTATCGGCTGGCATGTTAAAACTAACCTAAGTGGCGAGAAAGCCAATAGCTGGGGCTACATTGCGAGCCAAAGGATTCTGAACGTGTGACTGGCACACACAGAAATGAGCTAGAAGTGAGCACGCAGAGACCTCTAAAACTTCTGAAGAATGGTGTGCAGCGATCCTGGGTGGGGAGTTTGAAAATGTATCTTTAAAGGGTACTTGGTATTCAAAAAGCTCAGTAGAAACTGCCCAGAGGGCAGCTCCGCAGTCTCCAGGGATTTATGAGCTGACCCTGAGTGGAAGTTTCTGCATCTGTGATGGAGCCAAGTCAAAAGAAGATAATCCTGCTAAATCAGAGAAGGTGGAAAATAATGCAGGAAGTGGAAAGGGAGGGAAGAGGGAAGGAGAGATGGATGTGGGGAGGAAGGAGAGAATAAATACTGACGATAAAGAGGCAGAAAAGTGAGAGGGAAAGACCAGATGCGTGGAGAAGAGAAAAGTTTGGGGACAGACAGGGTAGGTGGGAAAGGCTTGCTGCAGACTTCAGGGACACTGCCATCTTCCCTGAGCCTCGTCACAGTGGTGCTGGGCCGTACGTAAATACGGTAACCGTGGGATCCGTGGCAGCCCTGGAAAGGGCTGATGTTTACCCTGGTGGCTTTGCCAGGAAGGAGATTTGTTTTGGCTCTACTGGGCTCTATCTACCAATAAACTCTTTGTTTTTTTGTTTTTGGTTTTTGAGACAGTCTCGTTCTGTCACCCAAGCTGTTGTGCAGTGGCACGATCTCTGCTTACTGTAAACTCCGCCTCTCAGGTTTAAGTGATTCTCCTGCCTCAGCTCCCCACCAGTAGCTGGGATTACAGGCACGTACCACCTGCCTTGGTAATTTTTATATTTTTAGTAGAGACAGGGTTTTGCAGTGCTGGGCAGGCTGGTCTTGAACTCCTGACCTCAAGTGAGAAGCCTGCCTCGGCTTCTCAAAGTGTTGGGATTATAGGCGTGAGCCACTGCACCGGGCCTCCAACGAACTCTTTGATTCACTGGGTCCTTTACCCTCTTTTTGCCACAGTGGGATAGATTCCCCTAGACACGAGTGTCTAGTGTTTTCCAGGGGAAATCCCAGTGTTCTCCTGAGAAATTCTAGGAGGAAAACCTTCCTTTTTCTTGGTCTTTTTTTTTTTTTCTAGACAGAGTCTCCATCATCCAACCTGCAGGGCAGTGGCGTGATCATGGCTCACTGCAGCCTCAACCTCCTGGGCTCAAGCAATTGATCCTCCTACCTCAGCCTCCTGAGAAGCTGGGACTATAGGAGTATACAATTACACCCAGATAATTTTATATCTTTTGTAGAGGTGAGGTCTTGCTATGTTGCCCAGGCTGGTCTTGAACTCCTGGCTTCAAGAGATCCTCCTGCCTCGATCCTCCTCCCAAAGTGCTGGGATTATAGGTGTGAGCCACCCTGTCTGGCCTTACTGGTCATTTTTAATGTTGTCCCCTGTAATGTTGTGGCCTTTCTGAGGAGGGCTTCCAAACCAGAAGATGACAGTTTACAGCACATGAAGCATGAGCGTGGTCCCTGGTTAAGGAAATTCCAGACTGGGTGAGCTCCCATGCCATGCCGTGTCCCCGCTGGCATGCGGGCTTGTCCTGAGGACACTGTGAACCATTCAGTTAGAACTTTTATTCTAGAGACGCTAGATGATGGTGCCACATCAGGCTTTTCAAAGATTCTCTCCAGACCGTGAATGTTCTCTGCCTTCTGAGTCATCACTTTCCTATCCACAGATAAAACAAAGAAGTGAGGAAACAACTTCTATCACCATGAGAGACACCTGGGAACATCGATCTCTGTTGGGAAGGGGGAGCATTTGGAAAATGGTAAGCATCTTTTCCTTATAGATATACAACTGGTTGTCCAAATATTTGCATCATTTGAGGTACAAGCCAAAAAAATTATTAGAATATGTTTGGCCGGGCACGGTGGCTCACGCCTGCAATCCCAGCACTTTGGGAGGCCAAGACAGGCAGATCACTTGAGGTCAGGAGTTCGAGACCAGTCTGGCCAACATGGTGAAACCCTGCCTCTACTAAAAATACAAAAATTAGCTAAGTGTGGTGGCACAAACCTATAATCCCAGCTACTTGGGAGGCTGAGGCAGGGGAATTGCTTGAATGTGGGAGGTGGAGGTTGCAGTGAGCTGAGATCATGCCACTGCACTCCATTCTGGGCAACAGAGTGAGACTCTGTCTCAAAAAAAAAAAAAAAAAACAAAAAAACTGAGCATGTTTTTAATACCCAGTAGAAACATGTCCTGGTACAATCTTTAACTTATCTGAAAATAATGTAAACAAAAATGGGAACTAATGAAGGGTAAGTGTATTCACTTAGGGAGTGGACATGCTGGGCACCAGGCTCCAGCGACACAACAGTGCCAGGTGAGTTCCATGGTGGTGGTGACGGGAGCTTGCCTTCTAGATGGAAAGTGGGAGTACATAAGGGAAAACGTTAATAATTCTGGGTTCCCGCAAGTACTGAGGGGACTTAAAGACAGCAGCCATGACCAGGAGGCCGTGCTAGCTGGATGCTTGGAACAGCTATGTGAGGGGTCACATGCGAGCTGAGACAGGAAGGATGCAGAGATTTCAGCAGAGGCAGGACCCGTGGGATGTGGGTGGGAGCGTTACCTGTGTGGAGAGCAGCACCTGCGGAAGGCCGAAGGCAGGGAGAGGACAGAAGGCTTGCAGGCAGAAAGAAGACCAGCTGGGTGTCCTGCATGGGAAGGACTGGGTAGGAGAGCGGCCGTCAGGGGTCCGAGAGGACCACAGGTGTGAGAAGCCGTCGGAGGGTGTTCAGCAGGGAATGCCACTTATGTTTTTATGATGATTTATGTTTTCCCGATACCAGCCTGGCTAGGGTGTGGAGAACGTGTCTGAGGGAGATGGAAGTGTGATCGTCTGAATGTTTGAAACTGCATCCTCAGTGCAGTGGTGTTGGGAGGTGGGGCCTCTGCGAGGTGATGAGGTCACAAGGGTGGAGCCTTCATGAGTGGGATTAGAGTCCCTACTAAGAGAGCCCAGAGAGTCTTTTCGGTCCTTCTACCATGCGGGTACTCAGTGCAGGTCGTGAGTCCTCACCAGACACTGATATGCTGGCGCCTTGATCTTCCAGCTCCGGAACTGGGAGCATCCTGTCTCCGTTGTTTCTAAATCGCCCAGGCTAAGGTGGTGGTTCTAGCAGCCCCGATGGACGAAGACAGGAAGCTACTGTGTTCCTGGTGACATGTCTGTGACTTGGTAACCATGTGGCAATGGAGATAGGGAGAAGTGGGCAGATTAGACACATCCTTTGGAAGTAGAACCAATGGCATTTGTGGCTGAGTTGGGTTGAGGATAGAAAGGGAAGCCGAGGAAAGAAAGGTGACTTCCATGTTTTGATATCAGACAGCAGTTGGTTAGTGGCACCATTTACTGATTCGGGGAAGCAGTTAACTGGGAACTTGATTAGTAAAAATCGAAGTTGAAGGCATGTGGTATACGGTGTGGTGTACCATACAGAACCCCCTTCAGGACTGACGGCTGTCCCCAGCTGCCAGGAGTGGTGGCTGCTCACGGCTGAGTCTGTTCCCAGCACCCTCTCAGCAGAAGAGAATGAACTCTCAAGACGGCGTTCATCCTGTGATATAAACGCCTGTCCCCTTGCCTCTGTTTGAGGCAACTGTGAAGACAGCTGTTCCACTCTACAGCTCCCCATGGTACGTGCATGTGCCAAATCCTTTCTCACTCATTACGGGATTCCTGAGGGCACCTCCCAATCAACCTGCCTTCAAGCCTCCATTTCAGACTGGCTCCTGAGAACCCAAAAGGAGGCAGCTGGTGCCAGGAGTGGACTTAGGAAGCAGACCCTAAGATAGAACTTTTGAGCTGCCAACACCTGCCAGCTGGATATGAGGACCCCCCCCCCCCGCCCACGTCCCCCTCACCAGCCTCCCAGGAGGGAAGCCTCTGGCATCTGTATGGGCAATGATTAAGCCTTCACTGGTGGTGCAATAGCTCAGTCATTTGAAAGATACAGGGAAATAGAAATTCTAAGGCAAAGAAATGAAGTGGCTGTTGCAGCGTTAGTGATGCATTGGAGAAAGACCATAAAAATGCTATAGATGATTAATCACTAATTTAAGGTGAAGCGTGAAATGAGGCCCTTATGACTGAAGAAGGCAGAAGGAGCTAAAGACCAGGCCAGGCTTTAATGATATGACTACAGAAGCTTCAGAGGTTGACTTCTCAACCCCAGGGGGTTAGCTCCGTGCAGGTCGGAGTCCTGGTGAGGAAGGAATGAGACTCTGGGATGGAAGGGGGTTATTTCAGTAAATGCCTAAAAACTCTGAAACCCCACGTTCTCCAGACTTTCCAGCCTGCAGAAGTGGCCCTCTGTTCTCTGTTAAAGCTATCACTGCTCCTTTGCTTAAAGATGATGCCGGGGCCTGTGCCTTGCAAGATCATACACATGCTGCGTTAGGATCGGCATCTCCCCCTACCTCCCCTCCTGCCCACAGACAGATTCCTAAGTCACAATATAACCCAGGTGGAGGAGGAAAGGAACTAGATCCCGAGGGAGCTGGAGGCCCTAGGACGAACAGACGTGCAGGTGCCAGGACAGTGTACCAGAACAGATCTGAGGTGCTGGGTAAGGAACAGTGGACATAAAGGTGGAGGGGGAATTCTACCTATTGCAGTGGGAGTTCTCTACATGGATTTAATTCCCTGCCAAGGACCCTTGGAGATAGATGGCTCACAGAATCTTGGCGACAGTGATGGCCTTGCAACGTGCAGTAGAAGTATTATGGTAGGGTTGGGTGCAGTGGCTCACACCTGTAATCCCAGCACTTTGGGAGGCTGAAGCGGGTGGATCATGAGGTCAGGAGATCAAGACCATCCTGGCTAACACAGTGAAACCCCATCTCTACTAAAAATACAAAAAATTATCCTGGCATGGTGGCATGTACCTGTGGTCCCAGCTACTCGAGAGGCTGAGGCAGGAGAATGGCTTGAACCCAGGAGGCAGGGGTTGCAGCGAGCTGAGATTACACCACTGCCCTCCAGCCTGGGGAACAGAGTGAGTCTCTGTCTCGATAAAGAAAAGAAAAGTCTTGGGTCCGGGTAATATGACCTAGGGGGAAAGTACACAGAAAAGGGTGGAGGGCTGAGCTTGGGCACGCCATCACTAGCAGGATGGCGGGGAGAAGGGAGAAGAGTCGGCAGTGTGTGGTGCTGTAGAAGCTGGGAGAAGGGGCTGTGTTGAAAGGGAGGGCTGCTGAGAGCTGGGGAACGGGACACCAGGATGTCCATGCAACCTGATGCCATGACATCATTGGTGACCTGTCAAGAAGAGTGTTAGTGTAGAGCAGAGGACGAAAGCAGGGGAGTCATGACCAGAGGTGAGGCGGTGAGTGAACACTCTTGGGGTAGGGGGCGTCAAGTGATGGCAGGAGGGCTGGCTTTCCAGGAGCGCTGGGCACTGCTTCCTTGTTAGGCAGAGAAAGTGAACATACAGGCAGGGAGATTTGTGCCTGGAAGCAGAAATGCAAGGGCTTTTGCTGAGGCTGTTACAGAGAGAGGGCACTGCAGTAAAAGATTCCAACCTCAGCAGGCTCGGCGTGGTGGCTCACACCTGTAATCCCAGCACTTTGGGAGACTGAGGCGGGTGGATCACCTGAGGTCGGGAATTCGAGACCAGCCTGACCAACATGGAGAAACCCCCGTCTCTACTAAAAATACAAAATTAGCTGGGCGTGGTGTGCGTGCCTATAATCCCAGCTACTCAGGAGGCTGAGGCAAGAGAATTGCTTGAACTCGGGAGGTGGAGGTTGTGGTGAGCAGAGATCATGTCATTGCACTCCAGCCTAGGCAACAAGAGTGAAATTCCATCTCAAAAAAAATAAAAAACAAAAATAGATTCCAACCCCAGCCCTTCTAGTCTGTGTCAAGGTCAGTCAACAAACCCAGAGGACGTCCTGACCTTTCCCTTCTTGTAGCTCTGCTCCTCCGGCACATTCCCAGCTGTGCGCGTCTACAGGTTTCTCTGCCCTGTGGGGCTGTGGGCTCCTGAGCAGGACTTCTGTTCCTTTGTGTTTTCTGCGGTTCTAACAAGTGCTTGGTCCCCAAGATACCCACTGGACACTTGCTGATGGAGAGTTCGTCAGTTTCATCTAACAAACTGGAATCACCGGGGCCACCCAGGAACTGAAGCAGCTCATGAAGAAATCCCATGTCAACAGGGCAGTTAAAAGCCAACCCGTCGGGGAGGGCAGAATGGAGGAAGGACAAGAGGGTTCTGATATGTCCTGGACGCAGGTGGGTGATAGTTCTTAATAATTAACACAAACCGTGTGTTTTCCAGTGACCAGGGGGCTGCGGGCCCCTGGTGTGTTGTCAGTCAGTTGATTTTTTTAGTGAGATTTCTGAGGGCTACTCCAGTTTTTTTGTTGTTGTTGTTGAGAGGGTCTTGCTGTGTTGTCCAGGCTGGGGTACAGTGGCACAGTCACAGCTCACTGAAGCCTCCAACTCCTGGGTGTGAGCAATCTTCCTGCCGCAGCCCCCTGAGTAGCTGGGACTGCAGGAGTGTGCCACCACACTCGGCTAGCTTCAGTAGAGACAGGGGTCTTACTATTTTGCCCAGGCTGATCAGCTCTTGGCCCTGAGTGATCCTCCCGTGTCGACCTCCCAAAGTTCTGGGATTACAGATTGAGCCAGTGCACCTGGCCTGCTTTAGTGTTAATAGGGGGTGCGAAGGTTGTGGGTGTGGAGCTTCCTGCTGACTCCAGGAGGAGGTGGCCTCCCCATCCCTGTGAGGTGTGACATGCCTGTCCATGTCAGGCTGAGATAGGATCCCAGTGGCCATGTTTCCACTGTGGTAGTGTGGCACCCCTGTCCTGTCCCCAGTGCGGAGGGACATGCAGGGCCATTATGCTCTGTCACACCTGCTGGCGGAAGGAAGCTGTGGGGGCTGCTGACAGGGTTGTAGGGGTGGGGGCAGCGGGTGGAGAGCTCAGCATGGCTGTCCAGCCGGCATGGCCAGGGTCTGTACTCTGCAGCCCAGGTCCTGGAGCACGGGCCGCTCTGCACCAGATGTGCAGGCTCACGGCACAACGGTCAGACCCTTGTGTCCCCACTCAGTTTTGCAACCACATGGGATGAGGCCAGTACTGAAAGATTTGTTAGCATTCGCTCAGCGAGACCCCAGAACTGCATTTCCCAGTGACCTCTGACACCAACCCCAGCCGTGGCCAATGCCACAGCAGGGAAGGACACAGCCTCCCCGTCAGCCGGTGAGGACTGGCTCTCCTCTTTTACTTCAGACAGCTTAAAGCCATTATGAAAAACATTTTATTACACGTATTCAACTTGCTTCCAATGCTATGATTCGTTTTTCATGTATAATGGCATCCAATGTTCATCTTTTTCTTTCAAAACCAGCACCAAAAAGTAAAACAAAAATACCATGGGTACAGTATAATGCAAGTTAACTAATGGAAAATACATACATTTGACTCTGAACTGAGGGAAGAGCAATGGCGTTGCCACAGAGGATCTTTTCCTGGGTTCTGATCACATCAGGCCGTGGTCCACTCACAGGGTTTCGTTTTGCACCAATAGAAGTAGCACCATAGGATCGTGAGACTAGTTAGTAACACATGTGCAAGCACAAAGGTACAGTACTTGAGGGGCAGCACAGGTATTAATACAGAAACAGCACTTCTGTGATCAGTGTCTAGTGCGAAAGAATGTCACGATGGGTTCACGGAAATCACTGCTCGTGCCATAAACAGAAGACGGGCTGGTGGATTTCAAGATGAGCTAAAAGAGCTGCAAAGATGCAGACTTTGGGGGGCTAATGGGGGCATTTGACAATAACTCAATCCGTCAATCGATTCTTTTCATTCTGAGGGTGTGAGGCCCTTGCCAGGGTGGCCAGGGGGCGTATTTCGAGGCCCCCTGGAGCAGGCAGGAGACCAGGCTGAGGCTTCCTGCTCCTTTGATGCCGAAGTACGTCTTTCGGTGGAATTAACAGTTCATTTGGGGATGAGGGAAATGGAACCTCAGCTCCCCAAGAGTTTGAGGGCTTTGGGATTCAGGGGAGTCTGCAGGTGGCCAGGCCTGAGGCGGGAGGACAGTGTTTTGCATAGGCCCCCGGGGTGAGGTGAGTCACTTGGTCCTGATACTTATTTCTCTCCGCAGAGCTCCCATGGAAGGTCCTCAGCACTTCTCATGCTTCAAGTGGAAGTGAGTAAATTCCTGACGCCCCCACCGCTTCTCTGCCCCTGGGGTAATAATGACAACAACAGAGCTCCTATGGCGGGGTGGAGACGGCAGAGAGGTTTCTGTCTTTGATTTAAGCGAACTCTAAGGTTGTGACATCAAACAGCAAAAACACCAACACAGCACCAGTAAATCAAGCCCTTGGAGATGATCCCATGGAAATTAGCCCCAGAGAGGCATTTCTCAAGGTAAGTTTCTAGAACATAAGCACCCATGAAATGCCCACCAAGTTGGTGAGCAAAACAGGCAGCCAGGGTCCCTGTTCCCAGCCTGCCCAGCCTCCTGGGGCCAGGCAGCGTTCTACCATCCTCTGTGCTCTTAAAGAGGCTGTCTGCTCAGTGCTCTGGGCTTCTGGAGAAGGCAGCGTGAGGGGGCTGCAGGAGGGAATCATGTATCATCCTTGCCCCACCAAAAAGATGGGTCAACGATGATGGGTGCCACAAAGTCTGGGCTATAGGAAGGCTCGGTGGGTGTGCAGCAGGGCTGGCCACATGGCGCTCCTCTCCTGGTCCCGGCGCATTAGGCTGATAGGCCCCCGGAGAAAGCTAGCTGCGTGCCAGGGCAGTCAGGTCGTGCTCTGCAGATCCTATGCCTCGGCTTGTGTCCTCAGGCGTCCCACACATCATCCTAACCAGATAAATAGCCAAGGTCAGTAGAAAGCCCTTGGGATGTGGCACAGCATCTCTAAGGTGCAAAGCTTGAAGTCTGGGCCAGAGCTGAACCTCCAGGAAGGCGGGCAGGTGCCCATCTGCCCCCAACAAAGCTGGCCTAAGCTCACCTTCGCCTTAGGAAGCACCCATGGCCATGACTAGCGGTTCCCGTTTCATAGCCCCTTGGAGAAAGGGTCTTCTGTTTCCCTACACGGTAGACAGCAGTGCTCTGAAAGCAGGTGCTCCCCCAAACTCAGACACTCCTGGACGTCCTTCCCCATGGGTGGGTGGAGAACTGTGTGGCACTGGTGTCCTCCTTGGCATGCAGAGATTTTCACACTCGGGGATGAGAGTTCCAAGACAATGCCCAGAGTTTAGAGACTGTTTTCAGAGCTGGGCACGGAGGCAACGTCCTGGTTCTCATGTGGTCAAGAAGGCAGATGAAGAGAAATGTGGGCTGGGCAGCCCGGCCCACTCCAGAGAAGCCGTGGGCAGCGGCTCACCAACACCTGCCCCTTCCTCCAGGGTGTCGCCGGCTTTCAGAAGTGTGTCTCATTTTGGGCTGTTTCCTCCATGATCCACCAAGCTGGGAGTTCCAGTGGCAAAAGCAAGCCGAGACAGGAGCACCAACTGTCGTCTCTCTCTCTCTCTCCACGGGTGCCTGCCAGAGGTGCTTCCCTTCGAGGTACCTGGAATCTTATTTTGTGATTCATGCCTATTTTTTCCTCGCTGTAGAAAGCCATCCAGTGGCTGTTAACAATATATTAAGTACCAAAGCACTAATGTCAAGTCCACGCTCATGTTCTAGGTGATTGGATTCTTGGGGCAGCCTTGTGGAGGCGTGGCCACAGGGCTGGTGCGCTGGGGGGAGGGAGGGGGCAGCTTCAGACCTTGAGTCGGAGCTTCGAGCGACCCCTGAGCTGCGCGTCACGAGCTCGGCACTGGTTGGCGCATCTTGTTAGCGTAGAAGTCCCTGCAGGTCTGGCAGCAGCGCTGATACCACCGCATGTCCTGGCAGAGGTTCTTCTCTCGGATGACCCGGCAGTACACCGTCCACTGGTCTCGTGTGCATTTGTAGGTCAGGGCAGCTAAGGGGACAGTAGAGAGAAAACACATGTGGTCAGGGATGGCACAGGGAGGGCTGGTGGTCCAACTGGGCTCCCTCACCTGGTACACACATCAACCCTGTGCACTGATTAGGCCATGCCTCCTGCCAGGGCGGGGGGGGTGCCACGTGCTGTCACAGGGACGCACTCTTGCATCCATAACCTAACACATGGGAGACCGTGGTGGTTTGGCTGCCTCTTCAGGGAAGAGGGCACGAGGCCCCCTCACTTCCGAGCCAAGTGGCATTTACTGCCGTTTTGTGGCTGAGGGTACCATTACTGTAAGCATTTATAAAACAGGACGACACGGAACAGGGGACATCAAAGGACCCCTAAAAGCACAAGGTCCAAGTACATACAAGTGGTCCAAATATCCTTCAGGGTCTTGGTTGTACCAAGAGAAGGCCCTGCGCCAGGGAGGCTCTGGAAGTAATCAGGCAGGCGCCTGCTCGCAAAAGTCACAACTCCACTTCTGCCAGCTCAGAGGCGTACCCCACCCCGGGAGCAAAAGTGCTAGAAACCCCCTTTATTATTGCTCTAGGATTTCAATTTAGCAAAGCAGAAACTCTGTTAGAAGGAATCAGATTAGATTATTTTTTTTTTTGGAGGAGTCTCACTCTGTCACCCAGGCTGGAATGCAGTGGCATGATCTCGGCTCACTGCAGCCTCTGCCTCCTGGGTTCAAGTGATTCTCCAGCCTCAGCCTCCTCAGTAGCTGGGATTACAGGCATGTACCACCACACCGCCTAGTTTTTGTATTTTTGGTAGAGATGGGCTTCATTCACTATGTTGGTCAGGCTGGTCTCAAACTCCTTACCTCAGGTGATCCACTGGCCTCTGCCTCCCAAGTAGCTGTGATTACAGGTGTGACTCACTGTGCCTGGCTAATTCTTATATTTTTAGTAGAGACGGGGTTTCACCATGTTGGTCAGCTGGTATTGAACTCCTGACCTCAGGCGATCCACCGGCCTCAGCCTCCCAAAATGCTAGGATTACAGATGTGAGCCTCTGCCCTCAGCCAGATCATTAGGTGCTAGGGCATGGACTGGTTAAGAGGCCAGGTTCCGAGCACCCAGGGGCAAACCACTCACAGTCTCCAGCCCCTCCACCACGCCTGTCTGCTGCTCTAGAAAGAAGCACTTCCCTTCACATTCCTCAGGCACAGAAAACCTAGGATGTTTGTGGAACATTCTCCTGTGTTGGGCAGAGGGGAGCAGGGGACGCTCAGGGTCCTGTGTTTGAGACAGCAGTACGCAGACACCACTTTCACAACAAGGAATGCAATCCCATCTCTCAAACTTCTCTTCTACAGAACTGACAAATGTCAGCCTCATGTGACAAGTGGGACCCAAGAGGGGGGCTTTCTGGCTGAAGGAACCTCGCCATCAGGGAGGACTCGGTGGGGGACGCAGCAGCCCCTGGGAATGGGCCAGCCAAGATACTCACCTAGGCGGGGGGAGGTGATGGTGTTGGCATTGATCCTGTCGTTGCAGACCTCCTGGTAGCACTGTCTGTAGGGGGCGGGCTTCGAAAGGGCAGGGCACTCGCTGCCGTGGCGACCCGTGACCTTGTGCATGCACTGCACCACCCGGGACTGCAGCCCCTTCCCGCAGGTCGACGAGCACTGCAGGAGACAGGACAGTCTGAGTGATGAACTACACGAGCTCGGAGTGGGGGCTGGCATGACGGTCTCACTCTGGCTGCCCCTGGGCTGGACCCTATGGGCCATGCCCAGGTGCTTGCAATCATTCAGGGCAAAAGGAGTGGCTGCCTGATGGAAGAGGGTTTCAAGATGTGATGGGATGCATGTGTGCCCTGCATAATGCACACGGCTGGAGCTGCAGAGGTGTGGCCTTTGGGAGGTCAGGAGGGTTCCATGTCATGAGGGCAGAGCCTCATGCTGGGAATAGTGTGCTTAGAAGAAGGGAGAGAGACCCGAGCTCACTTGCTCTCCACCCTGGGAGGACACTGTGGTCTGTAAATCAGGAGGGCCTTCCCCAGACACTGGATTTGTTAGCACCTTGGTTTTGGCCCTCCCCCTCTAGAACTATAAAGAATACGTGTCTGCTGTGTAAGCCACACAGGCTTTGGTACTTGGTGACAGCAGCCAGGGGAGGCTAAGAGGTAAGACACCTGCTGAAACGTTAATTCATGCTAGCTGCTTTCCGCCGCCCACCTATGCTCAGGCTCTGAGGTTTTTTTGAGATGGTGAGCAGCATGGCTTGGTGGCCCCTTCTATCAGGAAGGACTGGCCTGATGACCACAGGGCTCCCCCGCACCTTCTGCTGTGAGGCTCTGGGGCCTCTGCCCAGTCTTGGACACGGAGAAGAGCCCAGTAATGACTGGGGTTGAATTTCCCATAAGCCTGGAGGGTAGGGGTTTAGAATTAAGAAAATAAAGTACAACCTTCCTTGCATACCAGAGTCATGCCCTGACATGTGGCTGACAATGTTAATTGAGACACATCCCTGGCTGCTGGCATCTCCAGCCCGTGCAGCATGAGGGCAGTGTGTTTGCTAAAACCAGGTCAACGGAGCTGAGCAGAGGCCTCCAGATTCCCAAGGAGCAGACCTGTGTTGCTCTGTGTTTCTGTTCTCCCTCCCTCCTTACACTTTTTTTTTTTTTTTTGAGACAGTCTCTCTCTGTCACCAGGCTGGAGTGCAGTGGCATGATCTTGGCTCACTGCAACCTCTACCTCCCTGATTCAAGCAATTCCCCTGCCTCAGCCTCCCGAATAGCTGGGATTGCAGGTGCCCACCACCATACCGAGCTTTTTTTTTTTTTTTTTTTTTTAAGTAGAGACAGGATTTCACCATGTTGGCCAGACTGGTCTCAAACACCTTACCTCAGGCAATCTGCCTGCCTTGGCCTGCCAGAGCACTGGGATCACAAGAGTGAGCCACCGTGCCCAGCCTCTTCATGCTCTTTATAGTATTTCCCAGGCAGGAACTGGCCAGGTATCCGAGTCCTCTACTCAGATCTTGCTGTTGACCTATTCGGCCCTTGCTTTCTCCAAGGAGCCCTTGGAGAAATGTCTTTTCTCCCTTACATTGGTCTCTTCCCAGGAAGACAGCCAGGTCCACGAGCATACTTTCTCTGGTATCCCCCAGGAACCAAACAACCCTGATTTACAGGGTGCTGACAGCACTCAGCAAAACCGGGTCCAGCAGCCCAGCTGGGTTACTAATGGCACCTTCAGGTGGCAGGAGGGGAGCAGGGTCTGAAGGGTTCGGGTGCAGCCTTGTTCTCCGCATGCCACACGTAACGAAGGCAGGTGCCCTGCAGACCCTGCGCTTCCCATGTCCCCACCCTTGCTCCTGACCTTGGCCTTCCTGGAAGTCATGTGGAGTCTCCAGACACAGGCTGAGCGGGAGGCACTGGGGTTCCATCGGTGGCTGGGAGGGCTGTCTGCCAGGTGGATTCCTCAGCTTCCTTGTCTGACAGGCAGGTTCATGTATCGTGTGTGTGCTTTCACTTTAGAATGATAAACATTCAAAGGGAATGTCGCTCTGAAGGGGCACCAGTGTTTTCCAACTCACAAAGGAGGTGTGAAAACCACACGAAGCTCCCTTGTGTGCCCCCGCTATGTTCAGAGCAGCACGTGGGCTCTCACCCAACGGGCCAGGCCAACCTTCTATTTAAGAAAGAACAAAGCCTTTCACAGTTCAGCTGCAGGGGTGTGGTGGTGGGGGGTGCCCTCAATTATTTTGTAGTCAAAGTACTGCTTGGTAAAATGCCACTAAACTGAATGACCTCAATCAAGGCTTAAAACGGATCTTATGGAATCACTTGGGGGTTAAAAAAAAATATGTGGCAAAAATTTTAACTGCCTTCTGCTAGAGACAGGACTTCATAATCATAAGATGAGGTGCGGTGGATGGTGTAAGAGATGTTTAAAAATCACTTATAAGGGCCGGGCGTGGTGATGCACGCCTGTGATCCCAGCACTTTGAGAGGCCAAGATGGGCAGATCACCTGAGGCTGGAAGTTCAAAACCAGCCTGACCAACATGGAGAAACCCCGGCTCTACTAAAACTACAAAATTAGCCGGACATGGTGGCGCATGCCTGTAATCCCAGCTACTCGGGGACTGAGGCAGGAGAATTGCTTGAACCTGGGAGATGGAGGCTGCGGTGAGCCAAGATGGCGCCATTGCACTCCAGCCTGGGCAACAAGAATGAAACTCTGTCTCAAAAAATATCACTTACAAAAGCAATCTGGGAAGTAGTTGTGCACAGAGGCAGAGAGTCTACACCAACATGGTGGATGAAGGAAAAGGCCAGCGTTCCCAATGCGGAACAAGGCCACGCCCACACAGCCGAAATCTACATGCAAAGTCAGATGAAGGAAAAGGCCAGCGTTCCCAGTGCGGAACAAGGCCACGCCCACACAGCCGAAATCTACATGCAAAGTCAGATGAAGGAAAAGGCCAGCGTTCCCAGTGCGGAACAAGGCCACGCCCACACAGCCGAAATCTACATGCAAAGTCAGATGAAGGAAAAGGCCAGCGTTCCCAATGTGGCACGAAGCCACGCCCACACAGCCGAAAGCTACATGCAAAGTCATACCAGTGCCCCATAAAACCATGCAACGTGGCCACTCAGAGAGGGACACAGATTGAAAAAGGGCAGCATTCAAGTGAAGTCAGAGATGACCACGTGTCCTCCGGCAAACGGACAGGCGACTCAGCCTGGAGCCCGTGACCATCAGACCAACATTGTAGTCATAGGTTGCACCATACACTGAAATGTACCATTTCAGTGTTCTGACCTCAAAGCATCGATTTCATAAGGCTCCATTTTATAACACATTACAGAAACAAAACAGCAACATTCCTCAATTTGAATGTTTATAATGCCTAACTTTAAAGATGAATGTATAACTACCTCAATAAGTTACTTACTAGGCAGGCATTTGATGAGTCCACTTATACTCTAGACACTTTTACGTCTAAATGGATTACACAATTTAAAAGAAACCCTGCTCCCTGGGAAAATGGGCTTACCATATAATCAGGGTTAACTTCTGTGAGTATTTGCATGTATGAGGCCCACTTAAGAACAGAGGGCCGGGTGCAGTGACTCACACCTGTAATCCCAGCATTTTGGGAGGCCAAGGCGGATCCCCTGAGGCCATAAGTTCGAGACCAGCCTGGCCCAAATGGCAAAACCCCATCTCTGCTAAAAGTATAAAAATTAGCCGGGTGTGATGGTGGGCGCCTGTAATCCCTGCTACTTGGGAGGCTGAGACAGGAGAATCACTTCCACCCAGGAGGCAGAGGTTGCAGTGAGCTGAGATCACGCCACTGCACTTTAGCTTGGGTAACAGAGCAAGACTGTCTCAAAAAAAAAAAAAAAAAAGGATACATCTGCTGACTGCTGACCTGCACTGCAGACTACACACCAACATCTCTTTTCTCTTCGGATCTTTTTTGGGGCCACTGGCCATGGTGCCACCTACCGTAAAACATGTACTCAGTAGGGAAATACAGGCATCTTCCTTTTCCTTCCTGGGGAGGGGAACATAGGGCAGGGCTGTAGGATTCCTGGGGAGGAAACTGCACAGATGGATGGAGGAGCCCGCCTCACTCCCCTGCATCTCTGGAGGTGGCTGCACCCTGCCGGCTGCAGAGTCAGCCCCACTGAGTCACTGCTACTATGGGCTCAGCCTTGTGTGAGTGCCAGGAAGGCCTTCCGTGTCTTCTGTGAGTGTTGCTGATATGCATGTGAAAAACAGAAGGGCCCGGGCTTCATCCTGTGGGTCTATTAAAACCAAGCGCAGAATTGACAAGGTTTCTGCCTGGAAATGATCAGCGACCATTGTACAACTCAGGCATTTAGGGTGACCCGGCAGACAGATGTCTGTCCCCTCTGAAAGGTCTTTTCCTTGTGCAGCCTGCTCTGGGGCCGAGGGAGAAAGGCTGGCATGGGGCATGTCTCCAGCATGTGCAGGCGGGGTACCTGCTCTTCCTCACAGGCTTCCATGTGGAAGGTTCCACGACAGCCCCATGGCTGACGCCAGCCCCCAAGGTTGGCAGGGGTCCATGTCTTGCTCACAGCTGCAGAGGTAGGAGTGGTGAGTGGTCCAGTGACCCCATCTTCTCATGGACTGAATTCCATCCTATGTGAACTAGAGTTGGTACTGAATGGAGCTTCGACTGGAGGCGGGAATCAAACAACCGAGTCGCTGCCTGTCTCTACCACTCACTCATGGCCTTTCCTAGCATGGGTCACTGGCTTTTAATTTTCCAGTCTATAAAAAATTGCTCAGTGAGATCATGGAAGGGTGTCTCCAAAGCCCTTCAACCGGGCCAGGTGTTGTTCTCACTGTTCACTAGCGCCCCCATGAGGCAGCGCCAGGTCAGGGCAAGGTGAGAGGCGGTTTTGAGGGCAGGTGGTCACAAGGGCTCTGCCCCTTGTACGCATTTTACTCTCATCAGAATTAAGCTTTGCTTAATTCTAGCTGGACTCCTAGTGGGCGCTGTTCACACGGCTGTGGGCTGTGAGTGGCTCTGGCTCACTTGGAAGAAGTTTTGAGAATTTGGGGGTGTCTGCTTCACTGCCTGGAGCAGAGGATGCCTCCATGTGTTAGGTGATGTGTGTGTACCTATGTAACAGTTTGGAA